TTAACACTTCATTGCAGCAATCGTCGGATTTCTTTTCTGAATGTATTTATCTTCATTCTAAATTTACAAGGTTTTTGTTTCTAGTCCCAATGTCTAGTCTAGTCCTAAACATTGTTATTGTTGGTAAATTTTAAGCCTTTTTAATTTTGTGAAGGCAAAAAGGGGAAACCTACTAATCACATGTATGTGTAAAAATAAAAAATAATAAAAAAAGAAGGAAGATGAACACACACACATAAGCGGTGGCAATATTTTTTCAAGTCAAGTTCTGTGACGAACTCTAATACATACAGCACACAGAAAGAAGAAGAGCCGTTCAATGTAACCCACCCACCACAGTGGCCCCTTAAGCATCTCCACAAAATACTAGGAGTCTGGAAAACAGTTTGCAAACCTCTCCAGGTACTGGCAAACTTTTTCTCCAAAGGACCAGATAGTAAGTACGTTTGGCTTTGTGGGCTATGCTGTTTCTATTGCAACTCCAGCTGCTTGCTCAACTCCACCTCTGTAGCTAGAAGGCGGCCATGTACAACGTGTAAATCAGTGGGCATGGATGGCTTTGGTCCACCCTGACCATTTTGCATTTTTGTTTGCTGATTCCTGAAACTTCCTTCATTTTTTTTTCAACCAGTGGGGACTCTGAGGCTGAAAACTGGGAAGCAAGTTGCCATGAATAGCAAAACTGGAACCAGAATCCAAGTCACCTGATTGCCACCTTGCTCCTTAACCTTTGACTGTGCTGTCAAATAGAAATTTCTGGGGTGTGTGTGTGAGAGAGAGGGAGAGGGAGAGAGGAAAAGACTATATGAGCTCTGCCTGAGGGTCTTTAGTTAAATAGTAGCTTTGATATTTCTTTCTCATAAAACAGAGGTACCCCTCAGACCATGTCATTTTTTTTTTTTAAGGCAGAGTCTCACTATGTTGCCCTTAGTAGAGTGCTATGGCGTCACAGCTCACAGCCACCTCCAACTCCTGGGCTTAAGCAATTCTCTTGCCTCAGCCTCCCGAGTAGCTGGGACTACAGGCGCCCACCACAACGCCTGGCTATTTTTTTGTTGCAGTTGTCATTGTTGTTTAGAGGCCCGGGCTGGATTCAAACCTGCCAGCCTTGGTGTATGTGGCTGGCGCTGTAACCACCATGCTATAGGCGCCAAGCCTACACCATGTCACTTTAAGAAAATATGATGTCCATGCAGCTACTTAGTGGTGGCTTCTAATTGTATCTCCAGTGAATGGCCTTTCCCAATAAAGATACCTGCAGCTCTGTTGCAGGAAGTGTTTGAGGCCTAGTATTATATGTCTTCCTGCAGGAAAATGGCTCCATATTTAATGGAATTAGACATTCGATGTGATCATTGGAGTTACTGAGAGAATGAGAACCATGTCAAGGCTATCTGGAGTGAGTGTTCAGTGTCGAGAAGACTGGGACGTGTATGACTCAGTCTTTTAACTTTTTCTGTGAAAAAGAGAAAACAGAATACCACTGAGTACTTTTTGTACCAGACACTCTACTAAGCACGTTATGCATTATCTCATTTAATCCTTGCAGAGATAAATCACGATTCATTGTGATGAAGGTAAAAGTGAAGCACAGAAAGTCCGGGATAGTAGCAGAGTTAATGAACCTGAAAGATGTTTGTTCCTTTCTACATTGTAGATAGGATCTTGAAAACATAAAGTGTGTAACTTAGAAGATAACTGGTTCTGTCGATTGCATCTGTAGGGGCTTGCGTTGGTTGCATCCAAGAGTTGTCCTTTTCTACCCTAACTTATTGAGGGGAGTCAGCATTTACTCGGTGATCATGGTGTTTATGAATAAACGGCACTCTTTCTCTTTTTGAAGGCGGTGGAGAATTAGGCCAGCCGCAGTAGTCTTGGTACCTTGTGGAAAATCATCCCCGTGACAAACCCAAATGGGATTGTTTTTTTGGACGGCTCGATGGAAGTTGTCCGACCGGCAGGCCTATCTTCAGCCATCTCAAGATTACTCCCTGGGCCTTTATTGGTTTTTCTTGCCAGAGAGAACCCTGGCTCAATGCCCTTTTGTTTTTTTGAGACAGAGTCTCACTCTGTCAACCCAGTTTAGAGTGCCATGGCATCAGCCTAGCTTACAGCAACCTCCCAACTCCTGAGTGCAAGCAATCCTCCCGCCTCAGCCTCCCAGGATTACAGGTATGGGCTCCCCGTGCCTGACCTGGCACAGCACAGCGACTTCTTTCCCCAGAGGTGCTTTTGCTAAGATATTCGGGTTTCCTCTCTTGAGAAAGGCAGGCCATGGGGAAATTCACATGGCTCCGGACCGCTTATTTTTCCCTTTTGTGCGCTTACATTGCCATACTCTGCCATCAAGGCAAGAACTGCATGCTATCTAAGTTTAATTGCCTTTAAGTATAACTGCCGTAAGCCTTAGTAATTCTAGTTAACATTCTCTGCGGTAACATTGAACTGCTCCCTGAGGGTTTTCAGAGCGATTCACAAATAAATGCATTTAACTTTAAATAGCTCAGGAGGAATTATAGAACCCAAAAGGTGAAGGGTAGAGGATGTTTTCTGTTCTCCAATTATTTAAAGCTTAGCAAATGGGAGGGCAGAGGCAGTCATGACCTTAAAGTTTTGGTTGCGCCAGTAAGTGTTGTTACAAATAGTCACATTCCCCAGGGAAGAAAGACTTAAGCTTACCCAGAGAAAGAATATGATGAATTTTTGATTTGTTTTATTTCCAAGGAGAAGGTATAATGAACAAAAACATCTAGGCTTCAAACTTACCTAAACTGGTTTACAAGGGTAGATTGAACTAAGCCTGGAATAAAAGGAAATGTCAAGTATAAAAAAAAAAAAAGTTTTAAAAGTTTTTGTTTTGCAGGTATCTAGGCAAAACATACCACAGGTCTGGTAGGAAAATACAAGATGTCATAGGTTTCCTTTGACTTACAGAAAGGTCTGCAATTCTAATTTGAGGAGGGGGCAGTTGTAGAGCACAATGATTTGGACTCACTACCGTGAAAAAGTTCCCTGGTTTCTGCAACGGAGGAGTCAGGTTGGCCCTGCAGCTTAACCCCAGCTAAGTGTGTATGGGCAATGCTGGTCAGATGGGTCACTTCTCACATTGCAGTTCGCTACCTCGGTGACTCCAGAGCTTGGGAAATGATGGGAAAGTCAGAATTGAATTCCCCAATTTGTTTTTGACCAAGTTATCACCGATATTTTCAGATTTTAATTTTAATTGTGGAAGCATTGCTAACCTCCGCTTCCTTCAGATGTATAATGACGGATATGCCCCACTTAGAAAAATTTCGGCTTTAGAAAGAGACCAGGGGTTGATTTAATTAGCATTGAGTGTGCCCAACAAGTACTACGAGAAGCATAGTCTGCTTATTTGCTAACTAGGTGGGAAGGCTGAACTTTGACGTCTCGTCTTGGATGTTGGGAGTCTCATATATATTTTAAAGAGCTCTGAGATCCTCCCTCCCTTGGGGAGCCAGGATTTGGCTTGTGAGTTATAAGGATATAAAGAATTCATATTCTCATTTTCAGCCTGTTTCTACCCTTTGCTTTTAGATATGGCTTATAGGCTTGCAAAGAGGAAGAATCGTGTTTGACTCAGTTAGTTTTACTTGTGATTCATTAGTTTGAGTCTTTAGGGGATCTCTGAAGCTCCCAGAATAAAAGTTGAGAGACCATAGCCACTCAGTCTCAGCAGCTCAGTCTCATGAGGTAGAAATCACAAATAACCTGTGGTCTTCTAATAACTAGCAGAGCAGTTCTGAGTAATGTGCAGACGAAAGATTTTGAACCATTACATACATGAAAGCCTTCCTGTGGAGAAACAGAAAATTCCCAGGAGAACAGTGATGGATTATATTGGGTGATTACTAGGCCCACAGACTTCGGGAAGACGGTTCTGACCTCCTTGTACTGTCAGCAGTTGACCACCCTTTTCCTTCTACTTGGAGAGGACAAAGCTACATAAAAGGGGGTGGGTTTCCTTACCATGCCAAATTAAACCTTTCCCCCCTGGATAGCACCCCTTATAAGCATTTCCCTATTGGAATAACCAAAATAAGATACAGCTTTCCCCAGAATATTCCAGATTAGAGTGAAGAAGACCAGAGGTGAGCACATGCATAAGTGGGCACTGAAAAACCAGCCATCTGGCTCAGCGCCTGTGGCTCAAGTGGCTAAGGCGCCAGCCACATACACCTAAGGTGGCGGGTTCAAATCCAGCCTGGGCCCACCAAATAACAATGACGGCTGCAACCAAAAAATAGCCGGGCGTTGTGGCGGGTGCCTGTGGTCCCAGCTACTGGAGAGGCAGAGGCAGAAGACTCGCTTGAGCCCAGGAGTTGGAGGTTGCTGTGAACTGTGATGCAACAGCACTCTACCTAGAGGGACAGCTTGAGGCTCTGTCTCAAAAAAAAGAAAAACCAGCCATCTAAGATGGTACCGATAGAAGTAGACTTGGGGAATACATAGGGATGGGAGGAGAATGAAAGATTTAAAAAAGGGCTCCCAGGCTCAGTGGGAGGTAGCTCAGTGGCTAGGGCGCCAGCCACATACACTGGAGCTGATGGATTCAAACCCAGCCCAGGCCTGCCAAACAATGACAACCACAACGAAAAAATAGCTGGGCATTGTGGAGGGTGCCTATAGTTCCAGCAACTTGGGAGGCTGAGGCAAGAGAATCGCTCAAGCATGAGAGTTAAAGGTTGCTGTGAGCTGTGACGCCACAGCACTCTATCAAGGGTGACATAGTAAGAGTGTCTCAAAAAAGAAAAAAGGGGGGGCTCCCCAGTTCCTATCCCTCTTCACATTTTCCATATTAGAAATACAAGGCAGCTACTACTCCTTGTGAAGGACCAGCTTCTCACCATCCATTCCTTTTTAGAGTTGGACTCTAGACACCAAGAGCTCTAAACAGGAGGCTCCATTTGGAGGCTGCATAACTGACCCTGTTGCTCTGTTTTCTCCCATCTTGCAAATTTCCCGACCTGGCTGTCTAGCTGAAAAAGAAGCAGGTGTACGTGGATAAGGTGGAGAAGATGCAGCAGGCCCTGGTGCAGCTCCAGGCAGCGTGTGAAAAACGAGAGCAGCTGGAGCACCGACTCCGGACCCGCCTGGAGAGGGAACTGGAATCGCTCAGAATCCAGCAGGTATGGAGAATTTAAAGGAAGAACGGGGGAGGAAAGACAATGAGATCATCCCCTGTTACTTAATTTTCAGTTGGTGTTTGACATGAACAAAAAAAGCCCACGTTGGCTCATGTTTACAGTTCTCCCCCATGTGATCTTACTGCAGGCTGCCTCCTGATGATGGTGAAATAAAGTCTGTTTCTTTAGCTTCCTATCCCAGAAACATCCTCTAAACCTAGGATCCTTGTACCTTTTGTTTTCACTCGAGCCACAAACGGTAGACCGATTTGTACAAATAATCAACACAGTGAATCCCACAAAGGCCTAAATGTGTTCATGATCTATGTATCTATGACTTAATAAAAAAAAATTAGAAAAAAAGAAGTGAAACTGCTATGCACATAACTCCTGGACATTTGAGAACCAGAAATTGTTTCCAGAAATCATCTGGCCGTACTGCTCCTCAGTTTTACATGAGAGAAAATCAAGACCCAAGGTGCCTGAGTCACTAGAGGTAAACACAACAAGTTAGGAGCAAGATAGAAACTAAATCATAGTTGTTTTTCTTTTATTCCCCCCTTCTGTCATGTACCATGCTGGCAGACAGAGGTGGCAGTTTTGAACCCATTGCTCTGCTTTCTGAGCAGTGTGACAAGTTGATACGGCAGGCTTCTTTTTCTCACTGAGGGAATCTCGCATTGAAGCCCAAGATAGGAAGTCCTGTGGCCCTGGGAAGAGATCTGAAATCCCCCTGCTCATTTCCAGATGGAAGTGGCTGGGCAGTAATCCTTTCCAAGAATAGGGGCTTCTCCAGTAGCACTGGAACACCATGGTTCTTCTGTCACTAACTTGTGCTGTCTCGGCATCTGCCCCCACAGCGCCAGGGCAACTCGCAGCCCACCAATGTTTCAGAGTACAATGCTGCGGCACTGATGGAGCTGCTTCGGGAGAAGGAGGAGAGGATCTTGGCCCTGGAAGCTGATATGACAAAGTGGGAGCAGAAGTATCTGGAGGAGAACGTGATGAGACATTTTGCTCTGGATGCTGCTGCCACCGTGGCTGCTCAGAGGTGAGTAGTTAGCTAGTAGGGCCACCACTTGGAGGGTGTGAATGGCAAGAGCAGAAAGGTCACTGCTTCATAGACTTGCCAGGGTTTTCTGTTCTTTAGTATTCTGTTTGGTCCCCTAAGTGCTGAAGGGTGTTTTCTTTCATCTGGTTATGCAGGGTCTGAATGGGAATGGCTGTGGGTCAGAGGTTCAGGGCTTTGAAAATGAAAGTTGCTTTATGATCTTACTAGAGTCCTAGTTTTGCTTTCCTCGGGAGCCAGAATATGGACAGATGGTCAGCTGAATGCCACATACCTTCTTCCCTAGAGCCCAGATTCTTTCATGTGCAGCTTGTTTAGCCCCAGAACTGGAGTGAAAGCCTCTCCAGAAAAACGCCATTCAGCAATGAAATGTCACTCAGGAATGGCGGCTGCCATTTGATAGCTCTGATTTGTCCAAGGTATGTCAGAGGCAGTGCTGAACATGAACCTCTCTCTGCCCTTTGAGAAAGTTTATATTTGAAGGCCACATTCTCTGTGCGCATGAGCTCATCACATGTAAGCAGGCACATTCCATCTGGTAGGGAGAGAAAGTGGCAGGAGGATTTGTGAGTTTTGCTTCTTATTTGTTCCTCTTTTTCCTATTATAAGAATTGATTCTTCGCATTTAGGGAAAATAATAGCTCTTAGCCCATTTGTCAGTCTTGCTGTCGTTCATAATCATCAGTTGGGAAAATAAAAAGAAAGGAAAAGCGAAAGAAACAAAACAAAAACTAAATTCAAATCAGATGATGACTGGGTTATGGAGATAATAGAGCCTTGGTCTGGAGCAGGATGAGGAAGGTGGGCTCCATACAGCATATTGCTGCACGTAGGTCTGTATCCAGAACGTTATTAAAAACCGTAGTATTGCTTTTAGCATTCTCCTAAACGTGGTAAGCTAGCAGGGCCTGGAAGCGCTTGCCGGACTTAGGGCTGGGATATGTGTGCGGAGGGGGCGGTGGATACATTTATTTTTGAGTCTTTATGCCAAATCAAAGGTGGGGGTAGGTTCAGTGCTTAAGATCTGAACTGGTGCTTTATAAATAAACTCAACCCCAGTTCTTCAGGAAGACATCTTATGTCTCTCCAATGTGGACTGCCTGTCTCCTGATACCCATTATACCTCCAATAGATTAAAGCTGCCTGTGGCTTGATTTGGGAGTCCTCATGGGCTTTTAAGCTTACCTGGCCCTATTCCCTAAAAAAGGTATGCTGAATACACACCTGGGTAGTAATAGAGTGCACAGAAACCCCAGTTGTGCCAGAAGATGGATAGTATCAAGGATTGGAGGCAGATTAGAAGCTGAAAGAAGTAGAAATTTACCTGCTGGCTCCCAAGGAAACACTTGTACTCAGAACTTGTTCAGATCCCAACACTGAAAAAAAACATTGTTATTATTGGGAGGTGGGGAGTTGCAGGGTCATTTCATTGTCTTTGGGAGGAAGCTTAGCAAAATACAGCTAAGGAGAGTATACAGTGTGAGAAAATGTTAGAAAGCTCAGGTTCTTGGTACTAACTTCAGAATAGACTCCAGGGCAAAATACGGAAAGCTAGGGGGTTGTCACTGGAGACCTTGTATAAAGCAACTACCCTCCTGCCTTCTTTACTTGAAAGCTTTGAGTATGGGCTGTGGGGGAGGGGGTCGTCTTTCTGATGGATTTTCAGAATCTGTTGGTTCCTGTAAGATCGATTTAACTCAAGTCGAATTCCTGTAAATCACCAGGTAGAGATTCTTCATCTAATTACTGTTTTCAGCAAAATGTACGTGCAGCCTGTACTGCTTAATAATAGTTCCACAGGTGAACATTCCAGATCTGAACTATGTGCCTTATTGCATGCTCCTAATCCAACCCGCAGGAGCGATTGAGAGATAGAGAAATTGTATTCCAAGTTCTGTAAAATGAAAGACCTGGGCTAGGTGACTCTTCAGATCCTTCTATTTCTAGGGGTATACATTTCCAAAGATAGTGCCTGTTCCCCTCTGCCACAGAGATTGGTTTTCTCTTCCTTTTTTTCTTTCTTCATGAGATTTTAAATTTGGGAGGTCACATTCAGAATTTTATTTCAGAATCTGTGGGTCCTTCTCCTTTTCCTTCCACTATCTCTTATTCCTCTTCTGTAATCTTGGTTTCCTCTTCCTCTTCCCAGCCTTAAATGTAGGTATTGACGAAGGTTCTGCCTTTTCCCCCCTTTCCATCGTGAAAGCTTTACATTTTCGTGGCTTTTAAAATAAATTTTAAGTGTCTAGGAAATTGACTGCAGATGAAAAGTGCTCAGATATATTTAAGTGAGGAAGAAAGGAAAGAAAGAAGAAAAGGGAAGGAAGGAGAAAAGACACGAAAGCAGAAAGGAGACAATTTCCAAATGTGTAGCTGAAATCCCCAAGTCTAGTGCCATATTTGAATCCCTTGCTTGGTGTCTGTGTATTCTTCTAGGATCTCAAACTTAATTTATTCCAAACCTACTAGACTCATAGGTGAATGACAGGTTTCATGATTAGGAAATATTGCTTGGGTGATATCAATGGTAATTGCAGAAGACAGGTTTTTTTTTTTTTAATTCAGGTATTAGTTTCATATCGTAAAAACTACCTATTTTGCATGTACAGTTTGATGAATGTTGGTAATTCTGTACAATAATGTAGCCGCCACCACCAAGGACATAGAGGACGTGTTTGAAATTGTCCTTGTGTTTCTTAAACTTGATCTTTTTCTACTCAGCCTGACCCCAGGCCAATGACTGACCTGTTTTTGTCATAAAATTATAACTTTTTTCCCTAGAATGTCATATGAAAGGCGTCTTATTGTGTTTGCTCTTTTTGTTTGACATCTTATGCTCAGTAAAATAATTTCGAGATCCACCCAAGTTGATGTATGCATTCATAGGTCATTCCTTTTGATTGCTCCATAGTGTTCCCTGGTATAGACATACCGCTATCCATTCACCTGATGATGGATATTTGGATGGTTTCCACCTTTTTTTCCATTGTGAATAATAAAACACAGACATTAATATAAGAATTTGCAAGTGTTTTTTTCCTCAGGTGAGAAGACATAGTAGGTGATCTATTTGTACCTATTCCAGCACTGATTTTATGAAGCATCTCTTTCAAAGAAAAGCTGTTGATGCAATTTCAGACAAGATCAGGGTATGCAAAGCTCGGTTTTTAGCCTCAATGGGTCCAGGCATAGGCATTTTAATGAACGTGGAAAGGACTGGTATTGTCCTTCACTCCAAGATCCACATAGACGTCAGATACAGCAACTCTTGTGATATTGGTCAGCTGTATGCTTAGGTGAATTTCACTCAGTGAAACCTTAAGAGGGTCCAAAGAGAGAAAAAGAGAGGGAGCAATTTGATGATTTGGGGGCATATTCAAAATAACTATTTGATACTTAAAATTTTTGGTTTTATTCAAAGGGATAGCAGGAAATGTATTCATTTATCAAACACGCATACTGCTTGCTATACATATAGAAAGTGCTCTGCTAAGCACTTTACAAACTTATTATTTATCCTGGCAACAATACTCTGAGGTTAGTACTATTAGCCTTTCTGCAGGAGAGGAAACTGAGGCACAGAGGCATGAAATAATTTGCCCAGATCCACACAAAGATCCTCAGTGGCAGGACTGGGATTTCAATCTACATTTTTGTCGCCTTAGCTACTATACTGTGCTGCCTCCTAGATGCAGTGTAGCTCAAAGATAATAAAATGGGGATCATTAGCTCAGTAAAATACTACTTGAGATTTATTTTTTAGCCAATTGGAAATATTATAAATAATCACAATAATATGTCCTACTTTAAGGCTCCATATTCTTGTGTCCCGAGGGTGCTTCATATCACTGAGGGAGCTGAGTACATCGGCTATAACACAATAATTAAGAAAATGCGGCTCGGTGCCTGTGGCTCAAGTGGCTAAGGCGCCGGCCACATACACCTAAGGTGGCGGGTTCAAATCCAGCCTGGGCCCGCCAAACAACAATGATGGCTGCAACCAAAAAAAAAAGTATCCAGGCGTTGTGGCTGGCACCTGTGGTCCCAGCTACTTGGGAGGCGGAGGCAGGAGACTTGCTTGAGCCCAGGAGTTGGAGGTTGCTGTGAGCTGTGATGCCACAGCACTCTACCCAGGGGGACAGCTTGAGGCTCTGTCTCAAAAAAAAAAGAAAGTGCAGTGAAGGCTATGTTAACCAGTTTGTTGTATTTCAAATTGTATATAAAACCAGCGCATTGTACCCCATAATTGCATTAATGTACACAGCTATGATTTAATACAAAAATTTTTTTTTAAATATCACTGAGGGGAAATTACTATTGAGCAGGAGTTCTTGTTCATCCCAGAAGACCCAATTTGGCAGTGTATGTTTTTAGCTTCAGCTCACAGGTGGTGAATTTATTTCTGAAAGAACAATGAAAGGATAAGAAGGTAACACACCCCATCAACCATGTCGTTTATTAGTTTGCCTTTACTAAATCAAGTTGTTTCCTTTCTCTGAACTTGCAGTGTTTCGTGTTTTTATTTTGGGCACAGTAAATCCAGGGAAGAAGAAAGTAAGGGAGGGGTAAGCAGAAGATAGAAGCTGTTCACGTACCTCATATGTCTACCCGTTCCTTTACTGCAGCCATTTCCCAGCGTCCATGCTCTGCTTTCTTCTCATTCCACCTTCTGTTTTAGTTACCTTGTTTTCTAGCTTCTCTGGAATCGTGGTAACGATGATAACTCTGTAACAGTAACTCCAACATCTCTATGATTAAAGTTAGAGTTTCCAGCAACCTGTTGGATATTGTCTTCTATATGTTCTTTTTTTTAAATTTCAGATTAATATGAGGGTACATATGATTAGGTTATAGTGTTTGCATTTGTTAGGTAAGGTCCCAGTGGTCATTGTGGGTGGCACCCAGAAGGTGTGCCAAACACCTTTAGATTGTGCCCAGTAGGTGAGAGCACATCGATCCCCCTCCCACTTCCCTCTTTCCCCTCTCCTCCCTGCTAGCTTGAATTAAATGGAATTTTTCTCTTGTATGGGCATGTATTAGTTCGTCTACTGGCTTCATTTTAATATTGAGGACATTGGATACTTGCTTTTCCATTCTTGTGATACTTTACTAAGCAGAATGTTCTCCAACTCTATTCAGATTAATAGAAAAGATGTAAAGTCTCCATCTTTCTATGGCTGAATAATATTCCATGGTATACATATACCATAGTTTATTAATCCATTCATGGGTTGATGGGCACTTGGGTTGTTTCCGTATCTTGGCAATTATAAATTGAGCTATAATAAACAATCTAGTGCAAATGTCCATATGATAAAATGATTCTTTTTTCTTCTGGGTAGATGCCTAGTAATGGGATTGCAAGGTCAAATAGAAGGCCTATTTTGAGTTCTTTGAAGATTCTCCATACTTCTTTCCAAAGAGGCTGTATTAGTTTGTAGTCCTACCCACAGGGTAAAAGCGTTCCCTTCTCTCCCCAACCATGCCAGTATCTGAAGGTTTGGGACTCTGTGATGTGGGCTGTTCCCACTGGAGTTAGGTGATATCTCAGGGTGGTTCTCATTTGCATTTCTCTTGATGATCAGGGACGATGAGCATTTTTTCATTTTGTTTGTTGGCCATTCATCTATGTTTTCTTCAGAGAAGGTTCTGTTCATATCTCTTGCCCAGTGATAGATGAAATTGTTTGTTTTCTTTTCTTCTATTTTTTAAGAAGCTTTCACTCTAGTGTACGTGAAATCAAAACCCATTCTAGCATTTTTCAACACACCTTTCCTGGGTTTCTTTTCACTGCAAATGGTATGCCATCTTTCCTAAGCACCTGAATTAGAATTAACAAAATTCTCATTCATTTCTCCCTCTCCCCAACACCCAGATTGAGGTAGTCTCCAAGTTCAATCAGTTCTACCTCCTATAACCTGTTCCATTTCCCTGTGATTTGACTGGTTCACATTTTCATGATCTCCTATTGGGATTATTGTAATCTCCTGGCTGACCGGCCTGCTTGGTTTCAGTCTCTCCTGTAATCCCTCTATCACATTTATGCAAGAGATAATGCTGTCTTCCTATAGCACAGCTCAGATTATTTCATTCTCCTCAAAAAGCTCCAATAATTTTCAGTATCTGTTGGAATAAAGTCCAGACTCACTCCTGCATTAGTTTATATTATTTACTTTTTGGTCTTCACATGCAAAATTCTTGTACTCGGGGACTAGTCTTATCCTGTCTCTCCCTTCGCCAGCTTCCTAGGCACTTTAAATACTGTGTTCCTCTTAGGCAGAGTTCACCTATTTAATAAACAGAAGAATGTTACCAATACAAAAAAGACTTGAAGTTTAAAAGGCCACAAGATGTTTTGATTATAATAGCATCTCTTTGGCGACATTCTTGAGAACAGTTTGCACAATGTAATGGGGATAACTTTGTTGAAGAAAGGAAGGCAAGATAAGATAACAAACTGTTTACTTAAGAATTTGACATGGAGGATGTCAAATTCAGGGATGTGCAGTTTGGGGTTTGCAGGTTTTGTTTTTCGATCATAACCTGGCATCTCTCTCCCGATGTTCATTAAAATAGTCTTAGACTATCGGAAGGTAGCACATCAGCTTGCTTCTTCAAATACCGTGCTTGTTTGCTTTTGCCTAAGCCATTGGCCTAGTAGCCCTGGTCTTCTAGAAGGAAGATTGATGCTGAGGGCTGTCCTGGCAGCCCTGTAGGAATTCACTAAGTGCCCCACATTTTCAGGCTCCATTCCTGAGGAGTTCACAGTGTCCATATCAATTAGCTGGCAGGGCTCTGAGTCCCCAAAATGGTCTTTTATGCAATGAAAGTGGCTGCAGGCCAGCACTAGTTCCCCCAGTGACAAACCGTACGCTCAAGTCCCCAGTGTCCGTCAACACCATGCCCTTTTTGAAAGGCCTGGCTCGAAAGCCCCAGCCATCGCATTGGAACTGCGCACTGCAGGAATTGTCTCCAGCATTCTACCAAGAGACAGAATTCTTTCGAGTCAGGATTTCTTGTTTGTTATTTTCCTTCCACGTTATGTGTGGTTCTCTCTTGGTTATGGCTTTGTCGAGTACTTTTTCTGTGCCTGCCACACTGTATGTTTTTCTCTGCATCATTTTGTTATCCTCCATGAGATGGAAGTATAGTTATCTCAGTTATCATATCAGGAGACAGGGTTAGAGTAGGCTACTGACTTTTGCAGGTCATTGAGCTTGTCCCTGGCTCTGTGTACTTGGCGAGTACCTGGGGAACTGAGATGGTGTTGTCTTGATAGTCAGGGCCTGTGCTCTCAAGCACTACGCTAGTGCTGTTCCCTTTTGGGTTCCCAGTGGAGCTGTAAAGAAGTGAATTGGAGTAGAGAAATGATAGAATCCGGACATGGCAAAAGATTTTAGATTTAGAAAATTATGAGAACGACTGTTGTCTGTTTCCTCCTTGCTCTTCAGTTATTTTATCATTGGCATAGATGGTTTCAGCCTTGCCTAGAAGGTGCACGTGTTCAGGGGAACATTAGTTTTGCAGAGGGTCCCCCTAATTCCCCAACCTTAACGTCAACTTTCTACCTCTTCATTTCCTTGCCACTTTACCGCCCTCTGCAGCAGTCACAGTCTCCAAGCTAGGAGAACATAGCTAGCGGCCAGCAGAGAGCATGCCTGGAGTTCTCCCACAGACCCTTATTCTCTTAGAAGTATAATGAAGCTGTGCCAGTTCATTGTTTTCTCGGCCTATTGTCTCATGTCCTTTAAGACCAATAGAATTACACCAGTACTCCAATAATAATCCCCCCTCCCCTCTCTCTTTTTCTCTCTCACACTCATGCACATACTTTTCCTTAGGAATTGATCTTTGAGTTAATGGCCTGAGACACTTTCAGATGGAACATGATGGTCTCTTATGCAGTTAGAACTCTGGCAAGAGAACAGTCACTTAGTTGGGGTAGACTCATCAGTTTGGTGCTAGAATGCATTCATGTGCAGATTAGATAGGAACAGAGTAGCATTGACTCCAAGACCCTGTTTGTCAGCTGACAAGCTCTATTTGATCTTAGCTGTTGACATGTCTTTTGGTTGTTTCTGGCACTCAGGTACAGTTACCAATATTCATTTTTAGCAATGCTCAACTTAGTACACCCTTTGACTTCCTTCAAAGTCTAGCCTTTTCCCTTTCATGACTGTAATGAGAATAAAATGGAAATATATACATATTCTTATCACTTGGCCATGATCTAGAAACATTGAAGAGACTCTGTGCCAGAAGTTTTTGGAAGGGCCGGGTGCAGTGGCTCACACCTATAATCCCAGCACTCTGGGAGGCCAAGGTCGGTGGATTGCCTGAACTCACAGGTTCCAGACGAGCTTGAGCCAGAGTGAGATCTTGTCTCTAAAAATAGCCAGAAGGTTTTGGGAGGATATATGTTCAGTTTTGAAGGCAAGTCTGTGCACATACCCCGCTGACTTTTATAGGCAAGCCCACAGCTATAACCTCTTCTTCTGTCCTGCAAGCGAAACCTTCCTATCTTAGAAGCTCTTACCATTTTGTCACCCAGAACCAATTGTTCTGAATGAGATGGATTTCAGCTTAGAACTCTCCAGAATATCATCCTTTGACTTAGAAGAGAGATAGTATTTATTGATTTTGCTTCCCTCTCATCTTTGTCACTGCCATTTTCCTCCCCAGGGACACAACAGTCATCAGCCACTCTCCTAACACCAGTTATGACACAGCTCTAGAAGCTCGCATCCAGAAGGAGGAGGAAGAAATCCTGATGGCCAACAAGCGTTGCCTTGACATGGAGGGCAGGTAAAGTGATGGATCCGAGAAGTTGGTATAGAGACCAGATCACTTAGAAGGGCAAGCATCTTTATTCACAACTGGGAAACCTGATCACACGGCCTCCCCCCACCACCATCACCCCTGCTAGCCTGCCGGTTCGTGTGCATGAGATGCAATGCCCTTTACCTCTATCGTTCCCACTAACTGTGGAATTCCAAGTAGGGTTGCTGGCCCCTTGGCCTTTCTATTTGCTTTCTGTCTGCCCTCTGTTTGAGCTGAATTGTTGGCATTTGCACTAGAGGGTACTCTTTCTAGGACTGCCCTTCACCATGTGATATAGCAGATTGCTCAACAAAAGGACATCCACTCAAACTGAGAGGTCAAACACCTGATGCCTCTTATAAATTCATTCATAGAATATCTCATCTTTTCACTGAACACATGGTATCTATTGACTCAGATTTTTCACTACAGTGTCCACCACATTGCTTCCTTTTCTCCCATATAGTCTTCCTTTTCATCAGTCCTTTACTGCAACCTCTAAGGTTTAAGCAACAGCTCCTGAATCTCTGCTGTGTCTACTTGGGTGTGCACAAAGACTTCTTTTTTTTTTAATTTTATAGCACACTGTTCCTGTCTTCCAACTCAGAACTAATTAGACCAAAATTAGTTAGTCTATTAACTGTTGGTTTATGAACTTTAGTCAAATAGATAATGGAAACTCAAGTCCACATGGTTAATAAGATCAAAACACAGAGGTAGCGACAAGGTCTTGATATGTTCTTTGTGTTTGGCTCGTAGGATTAAGACCCTCCATGCCCAGATTATTGAGAAGGATGCCATGATCAAAGTCCTCCAGCAGCGTTCCCGGAAGGAGCCAAGTAAGACAGAGCAGCTGTCATCCATGCGGCCCGCGAAGTCTCTGATGTCCATTTCCAATGCTGGATCGGGCTTGCTCTCCCACTCGTCCACCCTGACTGGCACCCCCATCATGGAAGAGAAGCGAGATGACAAGAGTTGGAAGGGGAGCCTAGGTAATAACAGTAAATAAGATTATAGTCACTTATTCAAGGAGAGCCCTGACATAAGCGTCCATGCAGTAAGGAAAAAGGGCAATGGTCCAGATTCTAGAAAGAAAGGACCGGATTGAGTTTTTCCCTCCTCAGAGCCTTGCTGCCTATTCAGGGGCCCCCCATGCTGTGAAGACTCACCGTGAGAACATTGATCAAAGCAAAGGCCTGAGAGGATAAGAATCCTGTGTTCTGTTTGGGTGGAAAGGAAAATAACTTCAGTTTCCTCCAACACATTCTTCAATTTGGCCTTTGCCACGTGGGACCTTTTGTCTTTGTTCTAAGTCCATGGACCCTTCGTGTCATTCTAAATTTCAAAATTCCAATATTTCTGTGTTCCTTCATACACTACAATCGGAGGACCCAGAGTCCTAGTTAAGCTAAATGGAGTTGGTGGTAGGTATTTGTTACCATAATGTTCTGATATGAGAACAGAATATTCCTTTTCATTCTTTGCTCTCTAAAGCCAAAGCCCAGATGTATTCTGGAGAGCAAGAGGCACATTTTTAGAGCCTAAGGAAGCAAGCTATATATGTTTTTATTGTAGCTTTTTGTTGCTTTTAATTCCTTTCTTGGTCCTCTGACACTTGCAGTATCTTTTGGTCAGAATAAGTATTTTGGGCTCGGCGCCTGTGGCTCAAGTGGCTAAGGCGCCAGCCACATACACCTAAGGTGGTGGGTTCGAATCCCCAGCCC